GCCATTTGGTACTTTAGTTTGTTTCTTCTTGAATCCTTCCCTCGTATTTTTTCGAGCGAGTTCAACATCAAAAACTATTGTAATTTTTCTCATTTTTCCCATCTGCAGACTTTGTCATCGTTATTTGCGGGAAGAAGCATGCGGAGTTCCAAATCCGATAGCAAACCGTCAATATCAAAGTTCGTCAAAGGAATGATGCCAAACGTATTTTGAGCTATAAAAAAATCGTCGTCACTGTTCGACATCGTTTCCAGAATGACTGTTAAGAATATTTGATAACAATATTCAAATTTCGATTGCTCGCTTTCGCATGAACAGGTTTTTTTAAAGGAAACTAATTTCAACAGTCCATGAAAAAGTCTCAAGAGAAGAGGATTCTATTGTTAGAAACCCGACTAAGTAAACATTCATTGAGTCTATTCAGTTTTTGCGAAAACCACGTGAATTGAAAACTAAGTTTGTTAGTTACCGAGAACGGAGGCATTACGCTATATACAGCCCTCGGGCCTGCGGCCCGAGGGCTGTATATAGCGTAATGCCTCCGTTCTCGGTAACTAAGTCTTACATACTTTACTTATTTTGTATCTTAGTCATGGTAATGATTTTTGTTGGTGCACAACCTCCTGAGAGCACCATATCCCTCCCTGAGGAAAATCCTTGATCCTTGATTTAGTAACTTTTTTAGCAGCATTTATTAGCTTATTTTGATTGTGGGTTACTTGACTATGACTTTTCTTTTTCAGATGTTGAATTGTATTCCACAAACCTCAAGGAAGCGATAAAAGAGAARACGAACATACAACCAAAAGGGCTAAATCAATCAAGAGTGAAAACAGACGATATTTACACTACATTGACTGTTCACCAGGGAAAACTAGAATTTCGACCCGCTTGCAGCACACAGAATGAAATCAAGCAGTTCGGTGAGATATTTGTTGAAAGGAAAGAGAAAGTCTATAAGTCAATTTTGGTTTCTGGTGAACCGGGTATAGGAAAAACTTTCTTCTCWCAAAAACTCGYGAGAGACTGGTCGACGAATGACATATCTATCCMYGATATCAAGTTCACCTACCTGATAACRTTCAGGCAACTTGTCCTGCTTGGCAACAAAGAGCTTACCCTCAGAGAACTACTAAACCGCTCCCCTYTGTTAAACGAAAGAACCATGATAGACGAGACACTGATAGATTATATGATTCAACACCCAGAGCAGTTATTTATCATCTTTGATGGATTGGATGAATACAATGACCCTCGCACAATAGTCGCAARAGATGAATGCGAATTTCCAAATGATGCTAAAGCCAAAATGCCAGTAGCTGTTCTTGTCAGAAAGTTAATTTACAAAAAGATCTTTAAAGATGCAACCATCATGGTAACCTCAAGACCAAATGAAGCGAACGAGCTGAACGAAGGAGTCCACTTTGATCGACATGTACAAATTGATGGCTTTTCCGAATCCCAGGTTATCGAATATGTTAAGAATTATTTCAACTCAAAACCTGAGGAAGAAGTGACGGAAGAAGAAAAAAAGATGGCACTCGAAAAGCTCAAAGAATCGACAGAGTACTTGAGATTGGGACGTGTCCCTCTAAGATGCTTCCTAATTTGCCTTGTCATCGAATCGGAAATCAAAAACCAACGTTCTGGTAATATTTCAGCTCCACTGACACTAACAGAATTTTATTCTGAAGTTATTTATCGCATAGAAAGATATTACAATAGAAAAATTAGTAATTTAGGCAAGAAAAACGCTCCGTCAGCTGTTAAAAAAGCTCTCRATAGTCTTGCTAAATTAGCATTTCACTTATTTCAACAACGCAAATTTAGCTTCACATTTGAAGAATTAGAAAAACTGGAATTAACGAAGGATGAATTRACATATATAACATCAAGTAGTCTTCTATCTTGTTACCCAATTAAGGGAAATGAGAATCCAGATACCKCCTCTGAGGTGTATTCGTTCGCTCATTTAACGATCCAAGAATTTTTGGCTGCTCGTTACTTGGTGACGGAGAAGAGAGTGRCAGAAATGACGGAAATGGTGTATATATTCATTGGTGGTTTACTGGGCGCAAAAAAGAAGGGTAATGATGAAATGATGTCAAAGCTCTTAGAGTGTGTAGATCAACATGTATACGAAAATTCTGAAAAGGTTGGTACGCGAAAAAGACTTGTMTCACTGCTATGCCTTCACCAGTATGGACAAGATCAACATTTCACGTCTCAAGTTCTAACTGCAAACCGTCACTACAGATACTGGAATAGTCATGGAATGATTGARTTAGATGGTGTAACMGATAGGGACTGCAGTGCACTTGCAATGTTATTAGATAAATTAACTGCTGCATCACTTTTGTCGCAACCAGAAACCTTATGTGGTGCCGCATTTRCAACGTTAATARATAAATCAGCTCTTGCRYTATTATCACCACTTAGTAAGTTGTGTAATACTCTTGTCATTTTAGCAGATAAATCAAATGTTTCACCGCCAACACCACCACACACATTGCACATTAGAGGGTCATCTTTAACTTGTTCTGGGTTAAACTATCTTCTATCATCTCTCACTGAATCAACTATCACTGTATTGATGCTGCCGGCTTGTGAATTAGACGATAAGTGTGCTCAGTGTTTAGGTGAATATTTATGCACATCMAAAATWACCACGCTCAACCTGACCGAAAACAAAATATCTGATAATGGAGTGGAGCATATCGTGTGTCACCTTCCAGAATGCCTAACCGACCTAAACTTGTCTCGCAATAAACTAACTGATGCTGGAGTGAACTATGTCGTCAATCACTGCGCCGGTAATCTAGAAGTGCTTTGYTTGACTAGCGGCAATAAGGCAGTGTCTGATGATTGTAGGAGGACAAATAGGAATTACTGTGAAAATAAATATCCTTCTCTTACGTTTTTCATATAAATAATGTTATTTTACAAAATAGAGATTCATAAAAAGTAAACTTTGAAACGATACTTTTTGATATTTTGCAGTTAACGTAGGTTTTGCAAGTATAGGTTAATGCTTTGGCTGTAATTCAACAATTTTTACTATGCATATGAGTCTATATTAATTGTTAATTTTTTTGTGGAAATAAAGGTTTTGAATCGTTAATTTGCCCTTGATTCGTTTCACTATTTTAAGTTTTCGTGGATTCCACTCTCGTTTCTATGCATTAACTTGATGTACGCCAAAATGACTGTTGGGTTGCCAACAGTTAATGTTTAATATAAAAATATCTCATTAACGCAGGCAAAACGTTTCATTTTTAAAACCCAGTACTGCACTGATTCTCGGAGAAATTGGTTTGAATTTGTTGCCCATTCTGAATTAAATTGAAAACGGGACTGGTCACCAGTCACAAACTCGATACCGTTTGAAGTCTTTGAAGCAATAAAAAAAAAACAGATATCAGGACAAGAAWGAGCATACTAAAATTAGTATAGTTACTGAGTTTGAGCGTATATTGATAAATAATCACAGAGTTGCAAGCCTTTAAAACTCGAAAAAATACAAAGAATGTACTATGGAGATCTTGATTACTTTTCCGGTGTAATAAGACACACAATTTTGACAGTTTGACTCCATGTGCTTTACTTGCTTCAGTTGAACCAATCGGTTAACACGTAGGCCAATCGATATTCGCGCGCCGTTTCCATTTTGCTTATTTCTGATGGAAAAAAAGTGATATAATAAAAAGTTTATTGACCTCGTTTGCTCGGTTTTTAGCCTTTAATATATCTATAATTTATCTATGAATAGCTTCTGTGAAATAAATAGTGCCCGTGTTTTTAGTGTTTTTTAGCCGTGGAACAAAGGGTAATAGTTAAAACGCAAAACGCAAAAAAACCCGGCAAAACAAAGAATGATGAGGTGTAGGACAGTACAATKTATTTCACAAGTTAATGAAAACCAATCTAGGGGTGAAGGGAAAATCATATTCTTTTTTTATTTTGAACAAAACAGATGAGGAAAAAAATTACAATTATAAGCATCCTACCCAAGCAAATCATGATTCTTTGCTTATGGTCTGATACTCTGTGAAAAAGTAGATCTGTTCGCAGGATAATGATCTTAGTATGACAATATAATTGGAAATCCGTCTGACAAAAACGAACTGATTAAAACAGCTGATCAAACAAAGTGATAATAATTGTACATGAAAGCTAGATTAAAAAGCTAGGATAATAGTGTTATATAGTGGTTTTTACTAAATTACTGAAGCAAGACTTTAAGTCTGATACCAAGAAAAGACAAAGAAAAACATGCAAAATAAAGAGTAATGAT